GCTCAAGGGGAGAGAGTTCCAGAGTCTGGGAGCCACAGCAGCAAATGATCTGTCACCAGGCACGTGCAGAGAAGGGGGTGGAGGGTGCTTGAGCACCTGCCCCTTTTGTCCGAGGTGCCCAAAGTGCCCTTTTTCCGGTCTTCCATCAGATTTTACTGTTCAAAACTGTAATACTTGGATACAGTGCAGGCACTAGGACCATGCAGAGGCAGCCTCCTCAAGCTGAAGCCTATTTTCCCTTAGACCCACCTACAAGCTCACTGATTGGCTCTGCGGCGTCAGGCTAACGTGGGATTGGCTGTCCCTCTAACTCGCTGCGATGGAGACGACAGACCGGTGTTTTGCTTGTCGGCAGGAGTCTGCGTTCATCTACCTGTAAGTTTTTATTCAGCCAGCATCACGTCAGCTGGATGGATTTTAACCTCAGAGCTTTTGTTTACATTAACATTTGAGTCCGTGGTCAGTGTGTGTGTGTGTGTGTGTGTGTGTGTGTGCGTGCGTGCGTGCGTGTGTGTGTGTGTGTTATGTAACATGAGTTGGATCGTAAAAGCAAACATGAGAGAGACCTTCTGAAGTGAAACTAGAGAAACACAAGAACCATATGTTATTTCTCACTCTAGATTCTCTGCGTTAAAACTTCTGAATGGCTGATCGCATTGAAATAATTCTAACAGTTTCTAAAAGAACATACGGGCTTTCCAACGAGGTATCACATGATGTAATTCACGTTACTCCAAAAATCGCTATTAGAGGGAAACCAGCTTTGCAGCGTGACAGAAAGAAATGGAGCGAACTGCGACGGGAGAGCGGAGAACGACCTGGAGGAGGTAATCTGATCATCTTCATCAGCAGCTTTTATAAAGTTATGGAAATGTCACAAATAAAATCCACCTGGTTGGTCAGGTGTCCCAGAAGTTTCTGTAGATGGTGACATGAGGGACAGATTACAGTCACACTTGTTTTTATTTGAACACTCAATGTTTACTAAATGATTCAGCTTCATTCCAGCTTTATTTATATGTTCAATAAATATTTATTTAGCTGAAGATAGAAATTTATATCAGTGCAGAATTGTATTAGTTAAGTTTATGTCCTGAAATGTTTAACTTTCAAATGTTATTACCTTTTATGTGGCTTATTGATCTTTACAATGCTGGTAGAAATGTAGCTACAGTTGTGATGAATGTTTATATTTATGTTTATTTAAGGACCATGTACAATATTAAACATAAATATTGAAATTTGATGCATTGTACCAGATTTAGCGTGAAGCTAATTCACATCTGCAGTCCTGAATGAATGAGTGTTATCTTATGTTACCTCATACTTATTTTACTCCATGCCGTTCTCTGAACCAGAGCATATACCTACCTGTGGTCACTGACAGGGCTGCAGTCAGGAATTTAGAAAATGGAAACAGTCATAAACTAGTCAACATGAGGCAGGGTTCACACTTTGCAATGCAGTTCAGAGTTTAAATTGTTCATTTGAAGAGTCCTTTTGAAGTTCCCATTTAGTAGTAAATGTAGAAAACTCGAATCCATTTAATTATTATTTTTGTTACATTTAAAGGGGCATTATGGAAGTTGGACAGCCAAAACATGTAGAGAAATAATAAATGTCTTCTTCATACATTCTCCTGCAATGCCCTGGTCCTGTAGAATGAGCCCTGGCATTTTTACTGTGATTGCCTGTTTTTCTGTAAAATCACAGAAAAAGAGAGATGCTCGGGTCGAGCAGGCTGCTTCATGCGCGTTCACGCTCAGGCATAGCCCGTAGCATTTGCTATCCGTAGCTTTAGCAGCAGAGAGAGAGCCAGTGCCACTTTGTCGCTGTTCCTAACGCCTAGTGACAAAGCTAGCTACATTTCTGAGGACCCTTAGCTACTTTCTGTAGAACTTTCTTCTAGATGTTTCCTGCAAATTAGCAACAAAATAGCCATTTTCGCTCCGAACCGTTCTTTGAACGTTGTTTCAGCTGTCATCAGGGATATAAATGTTACAGATACTTTGAATGTTACTGGTGTGTAGCTCACCTTGTAAGATGTCTGACTCCCATGCAGAAGACCTGGGTTTGATTCTGGATGTGAACATAGTTCATTTAGAGTTTCTTTTTTACATTAATGGTATATTTTTTACAGTAAGATGCCCAGATTTGTATTTGAGACTCGCCGAATGGCATTGAATTAATTCACAGATTAAAAAGATGTGGGTTCAACTTTCATTTTGGAACAATTTTTCAAGCAAGGGAAGGGAATGATCTGAGCATGCAGGAGGACTGACCCATCATAAACCTTTGTCGGCTGTGCTGAAGAGAAAGGTACAGAACCAAATTATTTAATTAATTAGTTGCGCGTTCTCCTGTCCTCCGGGCCACACACACGTGCACGTACAGCATGCGCGCCTCGTGCACGAGCCTACTATTGAAGCTGCCGTTACGCTTTTGGCCTGAGGGGGGCAATCGCGAGCTTAAAAATTCAAAACCCCGTAAAGTCCCTTTAAGCTGCATTTTTACAGAGTTACAAACATTTAGCAGTTTTTATTACAATTTTACAGCTTAGAACAAAAAATACCAGGTGGCCCAGTTATAATTCTGGTCATAGAGGGTTAAACATGTGATGAATGTTCTGCTGCCCACGAAGACATGGTTCAAAGTGAATGTGAGAATAAGTACATATGTTTTATTACTTTATTATGTATTTTAATTATTAACTATGACATTATTATTATAACACTAGAAATAAATAATGAGGGAAATCAGCACCATGAAGAAAACCTATGGCCGTAGTCTGTGCAGTATTCTGGAAATGGTATGAAATGTCAATCTGTGTGAATTTGTGTGTTTTTACTTGTCTTTATATGCTTAAGTGGACAAATATTAACTGTAACAAGTGGACAGTTTTACATTGTGGGGACATTTTGCTGGTCCACACAATGCTGACTATCCTAAAATGTGTTTTAGAGGTTTGGTGTGAGTTAACCTTTAGTTTAGATTAGTTTAAGTTAGGGTTAGGAGTAGAACTCCATTAGTTAGGGTTAGGGTTTGAGTTAGGCATAGTGGAGTCACTAAAATGAATGGAAGTTAAAAGAGGTGTGTGTGTGTGTGTGTGTGTGTGTGTGTGTGTGTGTGTGTGTGTGTGTGTGTGTGTGTGCGTGCGTGCGTGCGTGCGTGCGTGCGTGCGTGCGTGTCCTCATAAGGAGAGAAGGTGGTATTCAGTCTGATATTGTGTTAAGGATGTGTCACGATGGGGAGCCAAGAGGAGGTTAGGACCCAAAGATGCAGAAAACCAGATGACGCTTAGTGGAGCAATAACGTAAAATCCTTTTATTAATAATTAGTCCAAAAAGGCAGGGAGCCAAAACACAAGAATCAGAGTCCAAAAATACAAAAAAAAAAAAACTAGAATCCAAGACGAAGATACAAAATCTACAGTAGAGAGGGGAACGAGACGAAGGTGACACAAGACAATGACCCAACAACAGACAGAGACGCAGACGGGGTTATATACACTAGGGCATGATGAGAGGCAGATAGGCTGTAGGTGTGTGTGGAGAGAAACCAAGTGAACGCAATTAACTAATCAGGGAGGAAACTACCGTGACCTAAGAGTAAAAACCTAAAGACAAGAAGAGCAGCAAACATAACTAATATTCTAAGGGGGAAGGAAAACTACAAAAACCGGTGGGAAAACACACTAAAGAGACTAATAAAATGAGAAGCTGAACCTATAACTGCAGAGGGGTGACTGGAGGAGACTGAAGGAACACAGGACCTGGGAGGGACTATCTGGAGGGCTGAGGACCAGGGGACACATGAGGAACACAAAGAGACACATAAGGGGATTCTTAGAGGGGAATGGAGCACACAAAGAGACGCAGGAGGGAGACGCAGACCAAGACAGGATGATGTTAGGTTGGTAGCAGAGCTCTCAGGTTTAGGGTGAAGTTCAGAATGAGATCATGGAATTGGATCAGGAATTTCCTACAGACAGGAAAATACCCCAGCCAACATAGCTGCAGATCACACTGGATAACTTCACATGGTTACGTTTATTCTACTTATTTTTTTACTCATATTTTACCACCTCTTACATGAGCTGTCTAGTGAGTGCTAAGTCAATGTTGTTGTACGCCTGTGCAATGACAAATTATTTAGAATCTTGAATACTGTTCAATGCACTTCCTGAATGAGTGGCTTTTAAGGCTAAATGAGTAAAATAACACTGACAGAAGGACAACTTGTGTGTTTTTCCATTATCTTCTTTTTTTTTGTAACACATTGCATTACTGCCTCATATCGGAACAGGACTCAGTATTGGAAGATAATCAAAAATCAAACAACTTGGACAATAATGTGGTTGTAACATCTCTAGATGTAAGTCAGTTTTAAAAACTATAACAATTATTTATGAACTAACATTACCTTCAATTAATGACACAAAATATAACCCAAGGACCTCATTATCTGAGATTTCAAACTTGTTGGATCGTAAATCTGTTTAAAAAATTTGCTCTTTATGTGCCCTTTTTTTTATCTTTTAGCACCCGCCCCTTCAAAGGTCTCTGCATGGCCCTGTCTGTCACCTTTGACCTTTAGCCTGGTGCTGCATAACCAGTAGGCTTTTACCACTGGACCTCAGGGACCTGCTGGGGGTGTAGGGACTAACAAGATCACCAATGTAAGATGGTGTTTGTCCATGTAAGGCCCTAAAGACCAGAACCAGGATCTTGAAATTAACCCTGAAGTTGACTGGCAGCCAGTGAAGCTGGAGGAGAAGCGGGGTGATGTGGGTGTTTGGAGGACTTGGTCAGAAGCCGAGCACAGGCGTTCTGAACCACCTGTAGACGGTTCAGGGAGGTTCTGCTCAGAGAGTTACAGTAGTCTAAGCGTGAGGAGATGAAGGTGTAGATAACTGTCTCAAGTTCAGAGCGGGACAGAATGGACTCAGCTTGATATCAGCATGGGCCCTCTCTTACCTTTGTTTCTCCTTCTCCAACCAGCATGGCGTGGGGTTCCTTCACCTGCTGCATGGCCGCCTCCGTCACCACCCTCAACTCCTACACCAAGACGGTGATCGAGTTCCGACACAAACGGAAGCTGTTTGAGCAAGGCCTGCAGGAGGAGCAGAACTACCTGGACCAGGAGGCTTTCCACTACTTCCAGGACCGCTCCCTTCAGTCCATCTCCGGCACTGTTGAGGTCTACCCAGGCCACACCGGCCCTAGAGCCGGCCTCATCGTTGGAGGCCCAGGACCCGGTCCAGGCCCTGGTCCCGGTCCTGGTCCAGGACGTGGGAAAATGAGAGCTACTCCAGCCAACATGGACCTGGGGGATAATACAGACTCTCTGGGGGAAGAGCAGTGCTGAGGGAGTGTTAACTCTGGACATGGACTCAGATGTTTTCTCCAGCGTTTTAAGAACAGCTGTTTCTTGTCTGCAGAGGTGAAACAGTGACTTGAGAAGAAAAGATGAGGTGGAAACAGATATCTGTGTTTGTGTGAAATGAACTAAAATTTAAAATAAATCATAAAACAGATTAAGATTAGGTAGGTGTCTCCCATATTTTAAGGCACATTTCACCCGCTAACATCCCAAATTTGAAACCCTAGTGGGTTTGCGTAATGTTGCTGATCAGTGTAGCTGAAGAGACTGGAAATCCATTTATATCAGTAAGAAAATAATAAAAACCTGCAGTTGTGGTTTATGATGCTTTCTGTTTGAGCTTGGAAGTAGAAATTCAGCTCTGAAAATTAGGTTGGGTCCAACCTGACTGTGTTCCAGTTTCAAGATACAAAACCTGTAGCACTTTCATTCATTCATTCATTCATTCATTTGTCCATTTTCATTATGTAAGCAAACTCAGACATCCCTCTTTCTAAAGTGCTCTTGGGTCAGAGAGGATAATTATTTGTTCCAATGAGTTCCTTGATCTTCCCAGGGTTCTCCTCAGAGAATCAGACCTGGTAGGAAAAATCCAACTATCTAAGTGCAGCTTCTGGGCATTCCTGCTAAGTAACTGGAAATGTACGACTTCCTAGTTTAAAGCTGCAATAGCAAATCTGCAAAAAAATCTAGCTTTTAAACACGGTCACGGAACACTCACCCCTCCCGTCAGCCATGCCCCCCTGATTTAGAAGCCCACATAGCCAGAGTAAACAAGATAGCGCTTAACACCAGTTGCCGTTTTCTAGGTCCACACGTATTTTGTTGTCCGTGACTTCAGATGGTGTTTTTATTTTTGGACTTTGGTAGTTTGTCCTAAAGTAGAAGTGGTAGCAGCCGGCTGTTTCTCCTTCTCTGATATTATTGAGCGGAGAACCTCTCACACCAGTGGTGTTCTGTTGCTGAATACGTGAGTGTGTGTGTGTGATGAGTGGAGGACCCAGGAAAGTGAGAGTGAGAGGTTCGGTGAGACTGAAAACCAGATGGTCCAATCGTTGGTTTTGGTCTGAGCCGTGTTGTTGGTGGAGGTTTTTGAACAAATTTGAGAGAACCACTTGATTTATAAATATATTTTTTCTCCATTTTTTAAATCTCCACAATATATTTATAACCCATAATATGTTAAAACGTTGTTAAGAGACTTGAGAAAAATGATTTAAGCTAACTTGTTTTGCAGATTTGCCATTGTAGCTTTAAATGAGAAATGCACTGAGAGGACCCAAACATATGAGGCTAAATCAACAAAGGCGACTATTGTGATTATTCCATCAGTTATTAAATTAGTGGATTAATCTATTCAAAAATTAAATATAGAATTTATTATTTGGAAATGGAAGATCACACCAATGCAGTTATTAAACGAGTTAGTGTGTTAAAAGAACTAATAAAAAGTTAGAGGATTAATAATTAATACAGAAAACCTGCAGTAATTTGAAATAAAAACTATTTTTATCTATGACAGATCTCCAAAAGTCATTCTGTTCCTATGAGACAGCAGCTTCATAATCCAGAGGTCAGAGGGTCAAAACGCTCCGAAAGATGATGCGGCAGCATGCTACTGCAGGGAGCTGTTCTCCTTTGAACCTTCTGGAAATTAGCTGCGTAAACACACCTTTTGAATCTCACAGGGGCATGTGCAGGAAATAAATCACTGTTAGGTGATGGTTCCAGGGGTCACAAGCTGCAGATGACAGCCTGCATGTTATCACGTCTGTTTTTCAGAGAACGCCGAATCTGAAAAGCCTGAATCTAAACCTACAAACTCTGGTTTAATTTTTATTTTTAAAGTTTATTTGGATAATTTCAAATTGTTGTTTTTCTGACTTGACTTTTGCAGGTCATAGGCTGGGATGGAAGAACAGACACTGAACTGAGACTGATAAGGTAGCAGCTAATCAAAGTCATTTACAAGTGTGAATAAAAGAAAAGACAAACAGAAATATTGGTGGTTGACTGTTATAAAGCATTAGGATGCAACATTTACAGTCTACAAAGTTATTTCTGCCCTGTCACCCAACAAAATACACTGGTTAACCATTAATTACTTTTAAAGTAATATACATCAGTCAGCTACATTTTCAACAGCACTCAGCGCGACTTAGATGGATGCGGTTTGCATTCTCCAAAAGCGTGGTTCGGAATTTCCCCCCATTTTCAGTATCTGCTTTGTTGTGGTTCCTAATGTTGTGGCCTTGTCCAGAATCATGACATCAGCAACTGTTGGTCAGTGATTGACTAGGGTGGAGTCACTTGTTGCTCCGGCGCTTTCTGCCTGCAGCTATTTCCTGGTTCAGAGACTGAGCAGAATGTTCAACATCATCACCACCATTGTTGTGCTGTGTTGTTTTAGTGACAAACAGATCACTTCACACTGTTTACTGATCACCTTGAGCTATTTTTGTCTTGAGTAACGATCTCAAGAGCAAAAATAGCATAAACCAACTACACTGAAGTGAACTTTGTTAACCCATGCTGTACCAAGCCATTTTTGGCTGAGTTGTGCTGTTGGAAAAAGGGCTGTTAGTGTTAAATAATGTTACAGTCGCACATTTATGGAATAAAAAGTACAAATATGTTGACACTTCATTGCTAGTTTTAGTTGTACAAAAGATTGAACTTATAAAACACACACACTGCTGGTTTTGCAGCATTTCACCTTCAATCTTTAAGACACGGATAAACACAAATGGGCCAGCCTGACCAGCTATAAAAACGCCAAAACGAGAGCTGAAATTAACTTACATATTCTGTTAAAACAATGTTACAATGATACTTCTAAATCTAATCATTAAAGCACATTTGTAATGTCCCCTGCCGGCCAGTTGGCCACAGGAGAGCAGCAGAGGGAGCTTCGAACAAATCAGAACATGTTATTAGTTGTTCATTTATTACTCAATCACAGATGAAAATAGCATAAGAAATAATCTGTTTACTATAAATATTTAAATAAAACCTAACTAAGTATTGCTGCCTACACAAAAAGTAAAAATTCTATAGAAACAGTCTCCTGAGAGGATGGTGTGTGTGTGTGTGTGTGTGTGTGTGTGTGTGTGTGTGTGTGTGTGTGTGTGTGTGTGTGTGTGTGTGTGTGTGTGTGTGTTATGCAACATGAGTTGGATTGTAAACAGCAGGGATTAAATTGGCTGAGAGTCACCGTGGTAACCAGTATGTTTTGGGGTCAACATTAATCCAAACATAAGTCATAAACCCTTGTCCCGCCTGACTGTAAACTGGATCATGTATCTTCTATCCACTGATATGTTAACAGGCTCTGGCCTTCTAAACATGATTGTGTCTGAATGTATTTAAATTGAACATTTATCCTTGTTTCTGCTCTTCTGACTGTCATTTGTTTATTTCGGGGGTGGGTTGTACCATTCCTCACTGCTACTCATCCTGCAGATTTTGTGTATTTGTATGGTAAGAGTTTTACGTGGGATGAGAAAATATGAAATTTAAAATCTGGAACCGGCACCGAAAGTCACATGCAAAACATTTGTATTGGTCTGAAAACACACAGAGACTAAAAGACAAAAAATGAGTGAGAAAATATTGGAGCTTCATAAACCTTTAATCTTTTGAGACCAGATGTGATGTATGTATGTCTCTGTAAGACTTTGGAGCAACATAAACATGTTTACATGGCATCATTCCTTTAAAGAGACAGTTCAGATGTTTTCTGATGTGAGTTTCTGCACAAAGGTTGTAAATGATTAAAATATGTAGTGGGAAGCACTTTGAACAGCCTTATTGTTGAGAAATACAGATCAGATTCATGAGCTAACAGCTAGCTAAAGCAGGGACAACTTTAGAGTGGATGGCTGTCATGTTAAAAATCCCCATATTTTAATGCAAAAGCGAATTTATACGTTTTTACACATGTCAAATGATTTGCATTGTATTTTTATTCTTCCAGAAATACCAAAAACCAGCAGAAAGTGTAACACGCAGAACAAAAAAGATGGATCGGAAGATGGATCTTTGTTGCTAATTTCGGCTGCAAAAATGTTCTTTTAAGGCAGGCAATATAGAGCTCCGGGAGTTGACGTCACTTCTCCCGGCATGCAACAGTTCAAATCGAAACAGCGCCATATTGGCAGGCAGAAGCCGGCAGCTGGACTATTTGTTATTGTCAGAAAACTCAATCAAATGGGAAATATGGTAGATTCCTGTTGTGCCCCAGGATGCAGAACAGACGCGGACGACATAAGGAATGAGCCATCTACAGGATTCCCCAAGATCCGGAGCGCCGCAAACGTTGGATCATTGTAATAAAACGCACTAGTGACCGGGCTAAAATGAAACTGTGGGATCCCGAGAGTAAAGGTTTTCGCTTATGCAGCGACCACTTCATATCAGGTACTTAAACCAACGTTTCCTCAACTGTATATGGTATTTATTTTAAATGCTTTTATTATGATTCTTAGTGGGCTTCCTAAACTTATTTTGGCGTGGCTTTTTCTGTCTTATTACTCATAGCAGCAAGTAAACATCACGTAAAACGTTGCCTCGTGAGTTCTGCGTGCTGCCGTTTACGTGTTTTATGATGACAGCAATTAACCGGCTAAGCCGTATTTAATTTTTAAGCAATGGTTGATCAGATCACACATAAAAAGCACTTTGGATTGCTATTATCTGTGTCACCGAGACTACTTACATGTAAATCTGTTATTTGTCCGTCCATCCATCCATTTTCATCCGCGTATCCGGAGTCGGGTTGCTGGGGCAGTAGCGTGACTTCCCTCTCCCCAGCCGCCGGAGCCAGCTCCTCCGGGTAAATCCCAAGGGGTTCCCCGGTCAGGTCCGGTGCTGTGCCGGTCCGCTCCGACAGCTTCTGGCGTCGGAGCGGGCAGTAGAGTCGAGAGTCCCAGACCTTCTCCCCAGCTCCTCCGGCCGGGGGAATCCCAAGGGGTTTCCCCGGCCAGGTCCGGTGTTGTGCCGGTAAGATGTCCGCTACGACTTCTGGCGTTTTTAAAAAGTATCCCAGGGGCACGGTAAGGGTCGGAGATGTTTAGTCTATTTAATTTCTGACTATATAAAACGATTTCTTCTGTTTTAAAGTGTGAAGTAAACTCCGACGAAGTAAAATCCAAGCGGATCCCGTTCATGTTCATGGTTACATCCGTGTTTGTTTACCTTTTTTGCATGCCAAAATGGCGTCCACTAACTGAGAGTCACGTGGGGTCCGGAGCTCTATACTAGCCTTCAAGTACCTTATGTGTGTTTATCCACTTTTTCAAACTTTTCTCCACTAACCTCCTCTTTTCCACCTTGCTCCTGGCTGCGATCCTCTTTGGTAGTGTCCCTGCTACCATCTCCTATGATCGTCAGACTCTTTTGTCCTTCCGTTCGTTCACGATCGCCCAAGATGCACTGAGGACGTACTTCCCTGTTTGTTTATCTCAGTGGGGCACTGGCCCGGAGCCAAACAACGATTCCAACCAGGGCGCCTCCAACGATGTTTATCCGGTCCCAGGAAAACATTGGAGGAAAAAAGGTAAACGATCAGGAATCCAGGTGAGAATAAGACTTCTCTTAAAGCGTGGTTGATCTAGTAAACATCTGCATGATCTTCTAGCTTCTTGTCCTTTGTTGGGCAAATTGAGCGCCACTTCTGGATTCCCGCCAGGCCACGTTGCGGCACGGTTTCTCTGTCAAAGTTTTTTAAGGTCGGTTTATCCTCATTCCTCAGTGGTTTCTCCTCCTGATCCCTCCATAAGTGGTTTTTATAAACACCGTGGATGTAACCCTACTAATTTACGTCCACTAACTCCAGCTGTTTCTGTAGCTTCTGATTCCTCCACCTCACTCAGCATGGCTCTATTAAATTCCCGCTCTGTTAACAATAAGTCCTTCCTGCTCAATGATCTAATTCTGTCTAAAAACCTGGATTTTCTGTTTCTGACTGAAGTTTGGCAGCAAACATCTGATTATTCTGGTCTGATTGAACTCTGCCCGAGTCGTTATTCTTTTCTTAGCCAGCCCCGGGGTTCTGGTCGTGGTGGAGGCCTTGCTGTTGTTTTCAGAGACCATCTTCCATGAGGCTCTACAACCTCTGGTCACTTTGCTTCCTTTGAACTGCATCTGATTAAAGTCGGGTGTAAGGACCCGTTCTACTGTGCTGTGGTCTATCGTCCACCTGGTCCAAACAGTTCTTTTCTTCAGGAGTGTCAGTTTTGACCAGCGGCGGCACGTGGTTTGAAGGAGAGGCAAACAAATAAATCAGGTTGAGGTGGCTTTATTGCAACATGTTTGTCACCAACACTCACTGCCTTTTATAACTAAGTGACTGATTGGAAGAAACCAAGAAGAGGGGTAATCAAAGAAATAATAACTAAATAATATTTACAGAACCCAACCACCAAAATAATAAATGGTACCAAACATTATTTACATAAATACAAATCATACTAAATAAATCCAAGTTCAATCAAACAAAAGAAACTAGGTTTCACATAACTCCTCCTGCATGGTGACGCAGTGGTTAGCACTGTTGCCTCGCAGCACGAAGGTCGCAGGTTCAAAACTCGCCTTTCTGCGTGGAGTTGCGTGTTCTCCCCATGCATGCGTGGGTTTCCTCCGGGTGCTCCGGTTTCCCCCACAGATCACAACATGCCCTATAGGTTATAAAAAAAATTGTACGTCGCTTTGGATAAAAGCGTCTGCAAAATGAATAAACATAAACATAAACATAACTCCTCCAAGAATCACCCCTCCTTATTTAAGTGGTATGCTCCAGCAGCTTAAAAGCAGCACCTGGGACACAAACTTCCCTTTGCTGCCCCGCCCTGCTGAGGAGACAATACCAGAAAGGTGAGTGAAACTTTGGAGATCAACTTAAGCACAAATTGACATTTAACAAACATTTCCTTTTTACACAGGAAGGGTGGCCAGTCCCTCTGCTTCTAAAGAATCTGTTTTAAATGTCCAACAAAAAATA